GTTACAACACATTGTGGACCTACAACTAACTTAGTCGAGTTAGTTGCCAATTATCATACTCGCCACCAGGCCTGGCTTTGTATTACAATGCCAAGCAAGGGATCTCTTAATTGCCTAACGTTCAAACCGGGTCAACGTCTCATATGAGCGTCTATCTCAGACGGTAACGCCTAAAAACCCCTCCGAGGCTGTACATAACGAGTTGAGCTGTGTACTCATAAATCACAGAGTGGCGTCACTTCCTTATCCATCTCTGCCCTTTCAAGGTAATTGAGCTGTGGGTCGGAACTCGGCAACAAAATGCCCGGGCCCAAAAGCTCCCAAATCATGCCAGAAGCCAGAAGCTGAAGGAAGTGATAGGACCGAGTAGGCGCTTACCGCGGTCGCACCTCAGTGCCATACGACGCCTTCTCACGAGGTCATTCTCTCCGTGGAAAATACGGAACCTGTACTTACAGAATCACGACGAAGAAGTGAGAGATGGAAGACCTGGTGTAAGACGGAATTTTAACTCGGGGCAGGCAGGAATACGTGAATGAGGTTAAAGGTGGATATTAATTTTTATTGGTTGTAGCATTAGAACCCAGAGGAGGGGTAGTACATATAGGGAATCGATTCATCAGGTCTAAGCCGTCAGATATGTACTGGGCCATCAGAACGACCAAGAGCTACTAATATCGGGTATGTAGGAGATGGAATGGGAAAAGTCCATGACGTATGGTGAGGAGATGAGGAGCGGTGGTCCAGCCGGCACCTTTGATTATCACTTGTGCTCGTAGTACCGAGGTAAATTGATTAGATGGTAGGTAATTCGTTCGTTTGCTTGCAGTCGAGCAAGGCGGTGTCGTGGTCGTCGGAGTCGTCGGGGAAGAATTCTGAGAGCCAACCAAGCATCGAGCGACGTCATGATAAGTCGTGATTGGTTTCATTTGATGAATTGTGTTCAAACATAAGCGGTGCACACTAGACAGAAAAGAAAGAATCAGTCAAGGTGTTCATTTACCAGATCCGAATCGCTGGGCAAGCACGTACCATCCATTCACAGACCATTAAAAACCCCCATCACCAACCCCTCAGCCGGGGAGGTGCCCATAATCCTCTTCCTCCGTCAATGACGACGATCCCTTCGATCTCTGATATGACCCGTTGCGATCAACCGACAGATATTCAATCGTATTTCCCCTGCCAGGCGGCGGCGTAGGTGTAGGCAACGACCCATACCTTGACGCGGGCGAATATGATAAGTTGTTCTTATCCGTGAACATCCGCGGATCGAAATCCGGCCCGTCCGAGCGCTTCTCGATGTCAACGTCCGGCGACGCGTCGTAATGGATATCGGGGAGGTGGCCTAGACGCTTCGTGCCACGACTCGAGGACTTGCGGTGGATCGCTTGGGAGAGTGGAAGGGTCTCTTCGAAGGTAACGTTAGGCCCAACGACAAGCGCAGGCCGGGTGACGAAGAAGAGAATGAGGTTGAACATCCCTGAGAGGGAATATACCGTACTGGCAAATAGAGAGAATTGGTAGGGCGTTTCGTAACCGCTGAAAAAGAGCCAGCGGGCAAGGCTGTTGGGGAAGAAGCTGAAGATGTATACGGCAGGATAACTTGGAGGATGGAGGTGTTAGGACTCATGGCCACCAGTTTGAAAGGGAATGAGGGCACTTACAACAGCATCATTTTGGCGATGGCTTTCGACTCTTTATCCTCCTCTGTCTCTGGGGCGGCAGCGCCATGGTGTACAGGGTTATAATTCTTGTGCCAGTGGATGCCATTGTCGATGATGAACCACCCCCTCATGACAACGAACATCAGGGTGTAGAGAATGGCCATTGACAGACCAGCGACCCACACCCAGAGGTATTCTGTCACGATTTGCTCAACCTTGTATTCTGTGACGATCCAGCACCCTGCAACAAGGTAAACAAGGCGCAGATCCACAAAGGATGCGACAACTTACAATATCCAGTAGGTCCATAATACCTCTCATTCCGGTGCACAGCGTTCGGTATCCCGATAACGAGTGCGGTGAAGACCCAGACCCCAACCACCACAAACTTGGATATATGCCTTGGCGCTCTCCACCGTAGTACCAGAATGGAAAATGTATGGACAGCGATAGCCTAAGGAACAATCGGGTGAGAGGCGTTCCAAGTACACATCATTCACGATCCATACCAAAGACCTGATGGGCGAAGGAAGAGAGAGATCAGTCCAAACGAAACGACAGTCAAGAAACGTCGACGTACGTCATTGCCACTCCGACTATCCCAATCTGCTTGATAACCGCCTGCGCCGTGCATAGAGGCCCTTCCGTGATTTCCTATCAGCGATAAGTTAGGAATCAGCATCGCGGTCACCAATTTGAGGCGAGTATCGTACCGCGTCGGCCATCCATTTAATATTGGGCATATTGCCTATGAAACGGAGAGTCAGTCAGACCGCGTCACGAACCTTCGTGGCAGATTCGGAGTACTAACCGATGGCTTGGATGAGATCCGCGAGCATGAGGTTAAGGAAAAGACTGGAGTCACTCGCGTCCGACGGTTGCATTACGGGCTTTCCCCACGTTCGAACTGTTCTCCGAAGCCATTTGTACTGCAGGTAGGTGAGCTATCATAGTCGGGCGCATACAATGGTAGCAAAACTCACGAGAGCGAAGAACAGGATGAAGGTCACCGAAACTGCCGAAAGGCTGGACCAGGATGAGAAAGCCGCGCCAACATCGTCTGACCACATTGGACACTCACACCGATCCCTCAATCGTGAAGAAGATGCCCAACCTCTGACCAAAGGTGAACGACATGGTGGTGGCGGAGGAGAGTGGGCAAAAGTGAAGGACTTTCACAGAAGCAGGGTGCCTCGTATAAATGACTGAGGGCAACCCCGCGGCTGATTGGCCACGTCAAGGATCCTTGTGCGGCGAACGCGATGCACTGAGAAAGGCACACCCATACCCACTCAGATAAGAACCAAGCACCGCATTACACCGCATTCCGACCTTCCCGTCTTTCCGAGTCCGATGGGGTGCCATGGCCAAAGTGCTAATCCCTTTTGCAAATGATACTCAGATCGGATCATTCCTAGCCATTAGCAGGCTCGATATGAAAGTCGTCCTCCTTATCGTCGCGCAATACGTACACGTACGGCTCCGGGCCTTCGACGGCTAGGAAATCTCTGGATATAGGGAAGGCGCTTGTTAGAAGATCAACAGAAGAACGGCAGGAGAAAAGAACACGCACCTCGAGTTCTTGGACGGCTGAGGCGTTCACATGTCCATGTCATAAGTAAATTGAATTGATAGGAATTTGGACAATTATTCCGAAAGCAATTGATGGGCGTCAACTGTTCCAGAGTTTAATGGATATGTCTAGTCCATTAAATTCGAGAAATTTTGAACCTGAATGCTATGCTGGGGAAGTGGGGTGAAGGAAGAAAAGTTGGAAGCGTAATCCCAATGGATTCCCATCATATTATGCACCGTGCGAATATTGGAGATAGCCGAGATAAGATAAGGATTCAACCGATAGCCAGTTAGGAACACGGCTAGCTGATTATCACCTCCATTATTGCTCTAAATATGCAAGAACGAAAGATATATATCCTGGACAATATAAAGCTATGCTACAAGCGAGGAGTTTCGGATGACAGTAGGGAAAGAAACAGTGTCAATCAAGTGTTTAGGCTACGGCAATGCGCTTCGGAGCGAGTTCAGGGGTCGACTTCGGGAATACGACGCTCAAGACTCCGTTGTCCATCGACGCCTTGATTTCCTCTTCCTGGATCTGTAGTCAGAGTCTGGATCCACCGAGGTAAGTTGGACTGGAGTACCCACTTTGATTCCTTGAGGAAGCTGGAGTGTACGAGAGAACTTGCCGAAGCGGCGCTCGCGTACAGCGTAGCCGCTCTTCTCGTGTTCATTTGACTGCTTCGTCTCCGCAGAGACCGTGAGCTTCCCGTTGTGGACATTGATCTGGACGTCCTCTTTCGATACGCCAGGGAACTCGAACGTCGCAGTGACGAGATTATTTTCGTTGTCCTCGTGGAGGTCCATTCTAGAGAGTATAAATTAAGATGACGTTAAAGTAGTAGACATTGGGTATGGCTCACCTTGGTTTCCAGGACCTTACAACTCCGTCAGTAGAACGTTGGACGACGGCTTGGCCATTGTTCCCAGCAGCCTGGTTGGACTGCCGAGGGGAGGCAGCAAGTTCGAAGAGGCGGTCAAAGTCGTAGAAGGGTTCGTAGAAGAATACGCTAGACATTTGCGAGTTTTCGATAGCACGGGTCGGTCGAAGGGGTATGAAGAGGATTTCAGAGGACTTGGGTAAGATGAAAATCTTGACTGGCTCTTTTATACTCACATCCCCTCAGTTTATTCGGGAAAATTCGAAGTTTGCGCGCGAGCGTTGTGGAAGTTTCGAGAGCTACACAGACAATGACCGAAACATGCTTACTAAAAGAAATGAGCCACAATTGCCATATACGGAGCATGACATCATTCTCGAAACTTCCACAAGCGGCCCGAAAATTCAACAAGTGTCTTGTCTTGTCTTGTCTTGCCTCGGAAACTGCGTCATTCACAGACAATTTTCTAGACACTCTTCTGGGTATAAATACTCAAATTGAAGCTGTGTCAAGTCCCCAAGTTCTTCGATAACTCCTCTCAATCACAATAATGTCGAGCGTCTTCTTCTACGAGCCTTTCTACGACTTTGACCGCTTCTTTGACGAGGACTCCGCTCGTCGCCAGGGTGCACGAAACGGTAACCAAGTCGCACAGCAGTCCGTTGACGGCGCTGTCAGGTCCCTCAAGCCGAGGTATGTGACTTCGTAACTCGCCTTTTCGACATCGCATGATGCTAACGTCTACATTTAGGATGGACCTCCACGAAGACAAAGAAAAGAACGTTGTCACCGCCACCTTCGAGTTCCCGGGCGTCTCGAAGGAGAACATCAACATCGATATTCACAACAACAGGCTGACCGTCTCAGCAGAGACGAAGCAGTCGACCGAGCACGAGGAGAACGGTTACGCCGTCCGCGAACGTCGCTTTGGCAAGTTCTCTCGTACTCTTCAACTTCCTCAAGGCGTGAAGGTGTGGCATCTAGCTAACTTATACTCAGTTAAGCTGATGATAACAATTATGCACTTCTGCAGGACGAGGAAATCAAGGCGTCGATGGACAACGGAGTTCTTACCGTCACCTTCCCCAAGATCACTTCGGAGCTCGCTCCCAAGCGCATCAATATCTCTTAAATGCTTCTATCCCCGTCTTCACCCACTGCCAAAGTCCAAAGTCCTCTGTCGTGTTATCGTTCGTGTACCATAGTTTTCCAATTTAGCCTTTTGTTTTTTGCTTCCACCATACTCGATGTTTTAGCTTACAACCCTATGAAGTTTATCCAATTCTACCTAATCTGTAATGTCAGGAGCGCTAAGTTCATGCTGTCGAGGATTACGCATCATTTCTTATCTTTTTCGCCATCTTTACGAGGTGGCCATAAAGCGTGAAAAGACGACGGCTGCATCAGGTCTGCGTGCCTATAATCATAATCGATCCCGAACGACGGCAGCCACTTGGAATGTCTGAGAATAAAATGTCAACAATCAGCGAACACGAATGCGACGCAGAGAATGAAACACGCTTACGACTTTCTCAAATGGTCTTTCACGATGTCCACGTCGCCGTTCTTGTATATACAGTAGTTGCATTGGACATCGTCTCCTTTGAATGTCGCCTTGGCGCGATCGTGTTGCTCTTTCATTCGCGTCCGTGCACGAGCGGCGTCTTCGCCTTTGACAACGGCGAACGTGGGAATCGGGCCCTCGGGAAGCGGCTTGTATTTGTAGTGTTTCGTACTGCTGCGATGGTGTATGGGCTGGAAGAAGCATAAGTCAATCACGAAGCTGTTTAGCGGAAATTAGCATACCACGAATGACCACTTCATTACAGCTCGTCCTTCGCATTCATCATTGCAGTCGAGGCACTCGATGAGGGGGTCCAGTTCTTCCATCTCCTTCGCAGTGGTCGTGAGAGGGTCAAGCCCACATGCTTTGACGACCTCCGCCATGATCCCACGCGAGTTTTCGTCGAAGGAGATCTCCTGGTCCGAGTTCCACACTCCTTCCTTGAGCGTCTCCTTCAGCGCCTGTCCCTCTGCGTCAAACTTGCCCACAACCGAGCCGACCGACGAGCTGCTCTTAGAGCACTTGTGCGTGAGGGCGTCCGTGCCCTGGATACCGTACTGGGTGACCTTGCCGCCCCAGATGCAGTTCCCGCAGCGAAAGAAAGTCGTGGCGAGATCGAGAACTGTGCTTTCATCGAACTCGTATTTCTCGCCGCGGGCATGCCGGATGAGGTCGATGAGCTCCTCCTTGACTTTGGTTCTCCAAGCGTCGACAATCCCGCTGAAATTGAGGTCACAGAGGATGGTGTCTTCCGTGAATACGACGGTGGGGGGAATATCCTTTATGAGCTGCTCGACCGAAGAGAACTGGTAGATCTCCATGGTATTCGGGTATGTTTTCTCAGGTGGAAGGAGGCCGACGAAAGAGGCGTAAGCGCGGCGAAGAACCTTCAAGCGTTGCTTATACAGCGTCGCCTTTTCTAGCGTAATGCGTTCGGATTTACGATATTCCATGACTTCCTCGAGATGGTCCTCGAGCTTTGGAAGAGCTTCGCTCAGAGGGATGTCAGGAGGAACCATGCGATTTATAAGAAGTAAGTAAACTCGCTCACTTCTCATGCCGAAGGTCCCTTTTTGGCAAGCCTTCAGGCAAATTTCGCTGTATTGGGGTTGACTGTGGATACTTGGGATCATGGCATATTCGTCAGCCCAGCCAAGATTGAAAACATATTCGACAACACTACACAGGAACTCAGCCTCGACCAGAAGTGGTAGATTATTAAGCTTACAGTCCTTGACGATCGCCCATATTCAGGGGTTCCTTGTTGCGAAGTTTGTTGCGGGCGGCCCAGATAGCGCACGCGTCGCCATGCTATGCATATACATGCAAATGAGAACGATGTGGATCAGGCATTTAATAAAAGGATATACCGTGTTTTTAGCTCTTTGCTCTACGATTTTCGCCTTTTCCCATGCCTCTCTCTCCTCGATGGTCTTGAATGCCGCAAACTCCTCCCTCCACGACCGGTCGGTCGGGGAATGCCAGTAAATCTGAAACTCTTTTGCATCTTTCGGTCGCGCATAACGAGAGTAACCCGACGGATTTTTCTTCGGATTAAGCATGACGAGGGGAACCAGGCCCTTCAACTCTTGAGAGTATTGACCCACGAGACTCTGATGAGAACTTTTTAGAAAAGAGGAAAATCAGACAGAGCGAACCATACAAGTTATTCTGACCTACATTCTGTATAAACAGCTGTCGCAGTATTTGACACGAGCACCCCAAATGACGCGAAGTTGGTGTTCATCACCGTCACATCCCTGGAGAACGACGCGGTCGTTAACATATGAAATTCGCGACGAATCAGCAGACGTACACTGCATTTATTTCCGGTGAGCAATTCCGCGTATTGTGGCTCGCTCAAGTCATCTGGACATTCAGGGAGCCCAGGCATGGTTGCGCGAACGCGTGCCCACACGGTCACAGATGAGCGATTCATGAGAGTCTTTCGCAGCACCTTTGATGTGCGCGAAAGTGTGAGGAGATCCGCGAGATTCACGCGAGAAAATATCTGGTAGACGCGTCCGGAGACCCATTCAGCGAGAGCTGGTGGATTTGAGCCGTCAAGCCACTCACCTCGAACAGGATATCCAATGGCATCTCCATAATGTCCATCAATGCATTGCCTCCATTTCCCTTTACTTTCTTCTTCTTCGATTGAACTTCTACTTCGGTTTCTTCAGCCTTGCGCTTCCCTCCCTTGACTTTCTTCGGTGCAGCTGCCGCTGACTTAGGGGCGACTTGCACAGGCGGCTTCTTGGTGCCTTTCGATCGCGTATTCATGTCTGCTGAGGTCGATGGCGCGAGGTCTTTGGGCTGCCCGTTGAATATTAATGGCCGTCGAGGGCGATATGGTCAGAACGAACAATGGTCAACGCGACTTTATTGGTTGCTTGATTGCCAAGGCCACACTTGGTCACGTGGGCGTTATCTTATCGCACGTCCTTCTCCCACCTGATCAGTGAAGTGCCTTCGCCGCCTCGCCTGTCTGTGAGGCCTGTGAGGCATGTGAGGAACGGCCCTACATGATTTACTTGGGCAGTTAAAACTGGGTGAACTCTCAAACTCCACCGTCCTTGCATGAGACTCTACAGAGATGCTGACCGTAGTACCGTCGAGTTAGGCATGCAGCATCATGATGAACAAGTACAGTGAAAATCCGTGAAAATGTACACCACATACCAAGTAAACTCAGTTTCTATCTCGTAAATAATTGTGGGTATCTGTCTTGGACCACCCCGAGGCAGCTACCATAATGCGAGCCGGAGCATGAAGGTAAGGTGTAAGTAGTAGTGCAGGGGAAAAACTGGGAAAAATCACTTCAACAAAGACTCCGCATCACCCCGAAGAAAACACGTGAAGTGTGTACGCGCTCGAAGGAAAGAGCGATGTGGAAGTTTCGAGAGCACTCCGGAGATCGTCAAGTGGCAGCTGACTAATGGTGGGAGCCACAATTGCCTTCTATGGGCATGACATCATTCTCGAAAATTCCACAAACGGCGCGAAAGGTCCACAAACGTCCCGATGAACCTAGCTGAGACCTGAGAAATTATCCTATTATGGGGAGGGCTCGAGGTATAAATACAGCAGGTTGGGTGCCTCTATCGTCCCTCAAATTCCACTAAAGCACATCGACAAACAACTACTATCGCTAAACCACTCTCAACAACAATGTCGAGCGTATTCTTCTACGAGCCCTTCTACGACTTCGATCGCTTCTTTGACGACGTGTTCGCTCCTCGTCAAGCTGTCAGAGACGGCAACCAAGTCGCCCAACGGTCTGTAGACGGCGCCGTGAGGTCCCTCAAACCAAGGTATGCATCTTCGTAATCGTTGATTCGTTATTGCATGATACTGATATCTGATTCCAGGATGGACCTTCACGAAGACAAGGAAAAGAACGTCGTGACCGCCACCTTCGAGTTCCCGGGCGTCTCGAAGGAGAACATCAATATCGACGTCCACAACCATCGTCTGACCGTCTCCGCCGAGACGAAGCAGTCGACCGAGCACGAGGAGAACGGGTACGCCGTTCGTGAGCGTCGTTTCGGCAAGTTCTCCCGCACTCTCCAGCTTCCTCAGGGTGTAAAGGTAAGCCCTTCAGCGTTTTTTGGTAGCAGACAGGAACTTGGGCACTAAAATGCACTTAACAGGACGAGGAAATCAAGGCCGCGATGGAGAATGGTGTCCTGACCGTCACCTTCCCCAAGATCACCCCCGAGCTTGCACCTAAGCGCATCACGATTGCCTAAAAATCTTTCTCGAATATTTCTTCTCTCCTTCGAAGCAGAGTCCTTTGTATCATATTGAAGGTTTCGTAACTTCCTTGTAGCATGTAGATATATAGCTAGCTTTTGCACTTGTATTTTGGACAGTAATTGATCCCTGTATATCAAACAACCGAAGCGACATAAGTCGATGAGGAAATAGATCAAGCAGTAAGAACTGTTAGAGAGGACCGGGACAGGACACACTTGGAAGTAATCTGCTGTTGTTACGATCCTGGCAAAACATCATCTGATTCTTGGGCTCATAATTCCTTTCCGCAGAGCCACCTGTTCACCATCTCCAGGGCTTCCTTGGGCTTGTTATAGGGCACCTAAGTAAACAAAACCAGTCAGCATCGAACCTCAAATACATTAGAAACCTCACGCACCATATGCCCAGCATCTTCAACAGTCGCATACGTAAATCCCCTGGCACTTCTCGTCTGACCGGCCCTCTTCCCATCCACGAGCCACTCCCTCAAATGCGTGCTCCTAAACTCCTCTCCACCACTCCAGTCCAAGTCAAGCGTCCAACGCTCGTTGCCTAGGGTGTTGCAAACATAATCGTTGGCGCCAACAAAGACGAGAACGCGGACCCCGCGCTCGAGGAGCGCCGCGGCGTTGAGATACGTTTGATGGAAAAAATCGCGGTGCACCGTGAAGGCCTGGTTGATGTCGAAGTTGATGAAGCTGAAGTTGCGTCCTTGGAAGGAGGGGTCGACGCCGAGCGTCCTGCGAACAGAGGGCTTGTCGAGGTAGGCGCGGATGTGTCTGCCAAACGGGATCGTGAGTGTCGGGTTGAGGAGTCGACAAGAGGAAGAGACATACCGAGTGAATGGATAGCAGATATCGTCTGGTCCGCCCTCGCAGTCGGCGGTAACGTCGTATGGATTTCGACCTAGAAATCTATTTTTCAAAAAAAGGTTTGACTTAAATCAAGGCCTCTCACCTGTCAGCACATATGGAGTCAGGAGCTCTGCTTCACAGAATGACATGGCGGCTTCGCAGCTCAGTCCGTCGAAGATATCGAGGCACGATTCCTTCGCCCACTTCTGGCACCTTGGGATCTACGTTGTTGTGTTCCATGAGCCGCTGGACAAGAAAAAGGAGAGCCGGGAAAGCATACCGCCTGTTTCATGCGAACGCAGGAACTATTGCCATAAAGTCATGATTAATCGACGGCGACGAGTCGTAAAGAGGAAGGACAAACGCAATGTCCAGAACGGGAGGGTGGACAGCCGCCGTGCAGACAAAGTCGTGGTATGCAGGCAACATGGTGAAAAAATCGGTCAGGCCGTTCCCTGGGCAAAAGCATGAGCAAGTCTGCCTGATACTTGAGATAGAACGCACGCACCAATCATGATGGATGTCAGGTTGATGGGGGTCAGGCCTGCTGCAACGAGTTTGGCGTTTTGGTCGTAGATCTCAGACGCAAAGATGGGGAGGTAGCGACCCTAATAAGCACCACGACCCTTGTTAGGACAAGAGGAAGGCGCAGAAACGACTCAAAGGTACATACCCCATACGACTCTCCGGAAAGGTGGAATCCCCTTCCCTTGAACTTGCTAAAATTCTCGAAGAAGATCACGACAAACGCTGCGATATCCTTGGCTGCCTCCTCCGTCGTGCTCTAAAAAAATAGTCATGGGGTGCCCTTGCGGTTTGAGCTGCTTGAGTCAACGTACAACGGGGTCGCCGTAGTCTGCGTAGGAGAACCCAACGCCCGCAGGTTGGTCGACGAAGAATACATTCGCATTGCTGTTCCACGAATATGGGTTGAACTTCGGGCCATTCGCGTCCAAAATCATACAGGGTCCTGATGTTACCAGTCAGTTGAGCTTCGTGTTCACCGCGTAACGCGCTCACCCAGCTCCATGAACAATCCAATCGAGGACGACCCACCCGGCCCTCCATTAGTCCAGAAGACAACGTCATCCTTGTTTGGATCGCCCCTGCTCTCGAAGAAGTAGAAGAATAAGTGCTTTTCGTGGATGTCGATGTATCCGGTGTATGCGTCGACCGTGCCGTCGCAGAATGAAGACTTCTTGATCCTCACTGAGCGCTGGGGGAACGCGGGGTGGCCCAAAGTCGTGAATTCATATTCAGAGAGAATCGAGAGTTCCTCGACGGGGCTAAATAGGCCAGCGTCGTAGCGCTGGTCCAACGCTTGGTAAACAGTCGGTTTCAGACATGGCCGTCGAGGTTCAAGGGCAAACACACCGGAATTGAAAGGAATTTGATTGGCCACAACAACGCTCAGCAGCAGGCTGAGGTTCACGAGTCGCCCGAACGAAAACATGGCAAGAGAGTAGAGAGCAACCTTCGTGTTCCTCGTTATCTCTTCTTGTGGGAGGTTTTATATTTGACATAGAGCCGCTTCGGCAGCAACGGTGTATCATGCTGTCTCAAGGAACCTGGGAACGTAGATATATGCGTACTGCACCATAATCTCGAGCCTCGAGGTCCTTGAGGGACTGCGGTCAAAGAACTGTTGACAATCTACCTGGTCGAGTCACGATGCTTGCATGGAAGGTGTCTTCCGCAGTCCTAGTCATGTCTTCAGAAATGCTCGCAGTCCGCGCGGTGATTGCATGTCGGAGGATTCAGCCTTCATGGAACCTCAATATTCAATTGCAATGAAAACATCGAACAGGGGGTTTAAGCATGACGAAAGCAACAGAAAGCATTGATTCAATATGCACAACAGGAAAAAAAAGAGAAGAAACAAAATGAGCGATCACCCACTCCAGCCCTACTGCTTAATCCCAAGGAACATCAGTCCTCTCCTCGCAAGCTCTGTCGCCTCCTCCAAGTCCCGCGCGTCGCTCATCGTCCACGACAACCCCAAGGCCGTAACCTGCTCCGGAGTTTTTCCGCTCTTCAGCGCGCTCTCGAAGGCGTTCTTCTTCGCGTTGAGGAGCGACATCCGTCGAGGGTCTGAATGACCTGTGAAGATGACAAATGCGGTTCGTGTTGGTAGCGCAGCGTGTAGTGTTGTTAGATGTCGGTTGAGGTTGGAGAGGATAGGCACGAGCTCTTCACGTGAGGGAGGCGGTTCGACAGTCGTCGTTGGTGGTGGTGCTGGCTGGTCGGAAGAAGCCTTGGGTGTAACCCCTGCAGAAAAAAAATAAGCAAGGCATGGTCCACGACAACGACAGCTCACTTACATCCCAACGCATTTGCCAGCGCCATAAACCGTCCAAATGCAAAATGATGCGACGGAACCACATTCAACAGCCCCTCCAAGATCTCCTCATCGCCCTTACACCCAATCGCAGTAGTAGCCTTCGCCCCATGCATAACCGCCGGGTTCCCATGATCCACCACAGCACTCCTCACTCCTCCCTTTCCCAACCCATTCCTCACATTGGCCCGGCCCATCCGCTCAAAGATCGGTTCGTGGTCAACCTTGAACTCGCCAAAGCCAGGCCCGAACTCCATTTTCTTCTTCATTAGGTCCACACACGCCCGGGCGTCCTCCTCTGGATCGTGCCCGCCCTCGCCGCGCGCCTGGATCTCACGCCCGCACCATTTCTTCGTAAGCCATGCGAGCCCGGGCTTGAGCGGCCGCCCGCGTGGGTGGTGGTAGATCAGGGCAGTATCGATGCATCGCGGATGGCAGATCTTTAGGGCTTTGAGGTCTGATTCGAGAGAGTGCCCGAGGAGGATGGGCGTGGCGGGTGGTGGCTCAGTGGATTTGGTCGTGGAGAATGGGTTGGATTTGGGTGGGGAGAGGAGGCGCATGACATGCTCCTGGACTTGTGTGAGGGTCGTCGTAACGTTGGCTAGATGCTCGGCGGTGATACCTGACCATCTTGTAAGGTAGTCAAGGATAGGCTTGCTCGGCTTGACGAGTTGGTCGTACACCACGATCCCTGATGCATAGTCAATGATGCAAACTCGCGTTAGCTCCTTGCCGTCTTCTGTTATGCACTGCCAGTGAAGCATCAGCTACAGAGACCGACAGGTCAAGAAGGAGCGCACCATTTCACAATCAAGCGCGTAGATCTTCTGCTTCCACTTATTCTCGTTCTCCGCAGGTTTCGGCGTCTCCAGCCATCCTGGAGGCTTCTCGAAAACGTCCGCCATGTACGAAGGAATGGGGTACTCGTTCTCTATCATTTGCTCCAGCTTCAACAGGTACTGTGTAGGATCTGACTTGTTGCTCTCTGCTGATGTTCAGAGTGAGTGAGTTCTCGTAGACGACGAACGATTAGATGAACACACATTGAACTCTCTGCGTCAACCGCCGCTTCTTTTCCTCCCCGCTGACAGGACCCGTGAAGAAAGTACTGAGTACGCTGTGCATTCGCGTCTGATCGCCTGGGGCACGTGTTGGGCAGGCATGGCTGAAGGTCGTCGCGATAAAGGGTATACTGGCTGTGCTGGGGGACGGAAGGGGTATTGAAATGGGCAGGTTAGGGTTCAATGTCGCGGATGTGGGTAGTGGTGGCAGCGAGAGGAGCTCAGGGGTAAGTCCTGGTACGAGGAGGGCAACCACTCTCTGGATCTGATTGACGTTCTGGAACAAGGTTAGCCGATGTAAAATGAACAATACAAGCACTCACATCGATCCGTAGCCAGTTGGGAGGTGGTGCATCTGCAATGAGGTGCAGGATAAGATCTCGGACGTCCTACCACACGACAACCCAAAGGTAGATGAGTTTCCCATCTACAGAGATGGGGATGACATAGGCACCGTACATCAATCGCAATTGCATGATTCCTCTTCACAATTTCATGGTTTGAGTACATGAACCGGGGGTGGGCAGTCTGGGTGTAGGACGTCGTTAGGGACATGGTGTGAAAAGACCAAGCAGGAAACAAGCTTGTCGTCTCCCGCCCAATGATCAAAATAAAATAAAAGTGAATTGGCACGTACATCGGCTTTGGCCTCCAACTTGTTCGCCTTTTTCTTCTTCTTCTTCTCCACTTTTATCCATTCGCTTTGTGCGCCATTTGCTTCGCTGGGCTCGTCTTCTGTCGTTTTCGCCTTTTTCAGACTCTGAGGATCCTCGAATGCTTCTTCGGCTTGTCGTTTCATCGTTCAGGGACGCAAAAAAGCCCTCTTGATGACTGGAGGATATAAGAGAGCCTGTGTGGGCCGTTTAGACAAGGAAGGGTGCAGCTGGTGTCCATTTGGAAAACTTCGACCTCTCACGTCCTAGTGGAAGTGTTGTTCATGTTTGGCAGCGGCCTCGCAGCGTCCCAGAATTGGCGCTCATCAGACACGACTAGAGCGAGGAAATGGGATGGATTAAACAAATCGCTGGAAGACATAAACATGTACAGGGAATGCTACTTTACTTCTTGACTTCTCGTGAATACTTGGTGAAAACTCCGTCCATGCATGATATGAAACATGAAAAAGGATCGTAAAACCGGACATGCAACATGAAATAAACAACAAAATCGACCGAAGCTCGCATGAGAAACAACGAAGGAAGAGCGGGAGAAGAACGAAGAGAATAGAATAGACAGAGGCAATCGGACCGAAGTACACACCTCAAAAAAAAGTAAGTTCAAGACAAATTAAAGGTCACAGACGTGAAAAGAAAAGAAAAGCCAATAGAAAAAGAAAAGAGAAAAAGAAAGGTGGAAAAGAAAGGTGGAAGGAGAAAGAGGAAAAGAATTATAGGTCGTCCTCTGGATCCCAGCGTGACATCTTCGCGAGCGGCCTCCAATAATACTGCTTATACTTCTTCGTCTCGCTCCTCTTCGCTGGACGGGGCATCATGCTCCTAATCAGCGTCGCCCGCTCCTGGTCCTCATCCAACTCCGGAACGTAGAACCACTGCGCCTCAAGCGGCCGATCCGCACGGTCCTTCCCACTGCTCTCCACCTTCCCAAAGACCCCACTCCCGCGCCCGGCCTCTCCGTCTCGCAGA